TCTACCACATTGTCCATTTTGTTTTTGTTTGTTTTACAGAGCCTGTTCCTCCAGCAGGCATAAAAGTCACAAATGCCAGCAATAAGTCACTTTGTCTGGAGTGGGACACCCCCACTGGTGAAGTGGAGTCTTTCAAAGTGACCTGTAGCTGTGAAGGTGAACTTGTGCAAGAGTTGAAAACAGACACCAACAGTGTGACGTTCAACAACCTGTGGCCTGGAGCCTATTATACCATCCTTGTTTCTACACAACTAAGAAATGGAACAACTAGCAAGCCTGTTGGTATATCAGCCAAAACAAGTGAGTAGAATACATCTAAGAATAATAAACTCTAAGTACATGGTTAGAAATGAATCAATTTAGGTATATATTTATATGTAAGCTAGGAAGGCTTATTCATAAAACCAGTTTTAGTAGCAAGATAATTCAAATTGCTGTGCATAATAGATCAACACACAGAAAATACATTGCAAATTAAATAAAGAAGAATAATATGAAACAGTTGGAAAACTTAAACTCAAATAAAATCTTAAATTAGCACAGGCAAAGTCCACTCTAAGCAAACACGTTTTGTATTAAACATTTAAAGCGATATAAGCTTCTCTTACGTTTATGATTTATTGAAAATAAAAAAAAATTATTGAACTTTCCCACTGCCTGTTTCACCTTGCATACTGAGTCCCTGCATAATGACTTAAGGACTGGGGTGATATGCTCCACATTGAATGAGGACATGAGCAGCATCATTTGGAATAATGACAGCTCTAATTGACTTCTTAGGCAGCTTTGTGAGGATATATTTGCAGTGATCAAGTCAACTTACTATAGTAATTATTATTTTTTTTCACATAATGCCATCTTTAAGAATGAGTAACTACAACCTTAATGTTACATCCATCCATTTGTTTTTTGTCACGCTTATCCCTGCTGGACCCTGGACAGGTCACTAGTCTACCCCACAGCAACTTAATGTTACAATAAAACAAAAAGTTATGTAAGTACATAAACATAAGGAAAATGTTACAGTGCGAGAGAGAGGGATATTTGCTCTACACCCTCCATCTGTTGCCAGTCGCAATTATACAATTCATACAACACAAATGAAGTATAGAGTGGTGAACAGAAAGACAGATTTCCATTTTGACCTTTAGGGAAATATTCCGTTTATTTAAAAGGTTTTTCATTCTGATACTGAAATCTATTTAATACAGATTGCTCAAGGAAAAGAAAAGCAATTTTTTTTAATTTAAGGCCAAAATTTAGTTTTCAAATATTCTATTGCATTTTTCCTAGTCCAATCTCTGTCATGATTTTATTCTAAGATCTGACCCACATGAAGAAAACCAAACAGAGAGACCAAGGGAAGGTTTAACAGGTTTATTAAGAACTGGTAGAGGTGGGTCCAGTGCTGCTCTGAAAACTGGCGAACCGGGACTGAAAAGTGAAGGTGAAGTTCCTGTGGTTAGTTCAGGCTCAGTGGGAAATTTGAGCTTCGATTTGCAAAAAGGGAATAAAGGCATCAGGACATTTCTTGTAAAAGTGTCTTTCTCTGAATCCAGTCGGTGTGGGTTGTTCCAGTAATTGACTTGCTCGTTGGAGGGCGGACAGGGTTTACCCAGGTTGAGGTGTTTCCTTGATGAACGGAGGAGCTGCCTGCCACTTAGTTTTCCTATGGTACTTGAACGGTTTCTTGTGGAGAATAATCCCCTGCTCAGTGTGAAGCTCAAACAATCCTGTGGGGAAAAGTAGATCCAAACCTCCAGTTTGAATCCCCAGCTCAGTTTGAAGCTCAGACAATCCTTCCAGGGGGAGAAGGTCTAAAACATCCAGTTTGCAGGATGACTTCCTGCCAAGAGGCAAAGACAAAAAACAACAAGGTTAAGACTCAGGTTAACGAAAACTCAGTTTGACTCAGCAAAACTCAGCTTGGCTAGAGTACCCAAAACTGGCAAACACTCTGGCGTTGAGGTAGTGGCAGTCAGCAGCTTTAGAGTCCTCCAGTAATGAGGCAACCATCCGCAGGTGTTTGAGAGGACCAACGACAACCAGGCGCCACCTGGTGGTGGAGGGAAAACACACAAAAACACAACTCACAAAGACTGGATTCCTAACAATCTCCTTTTTTATAAGATTAAAATGTAGGGTAACCAGACGTCCTCTTTTTTCCGGACACGTCCTACTTTTCATACCTAAAAAAAATGTCCAGGGGGAATTTCAAAATTGTCCGGGATTTTGGTCGACTACAGTGCAGCAGAACCGAGCTGTCAGCGGAGGGAAGCATACTGTCACCGGAATGGGTTCCATCGCTCCGTCCCCGGCTGGCTCTGGCAAACCCCCGGAGCTGATGGCCCAGTCCAGCCCAGTCAGCGGCAAAGTAGAACTCTTTTCACAAACCGAAATCTAGTCACTCTATTGAAATCAAAGCCTTTATTTGTAGATTAATGCCATACCCCTATCGTATAACAAAAACCTCGTCCTGCATCAGTCCTATTCTGATTGTATGTTTTCAGTCTTTTCAATGCAGAGAATGACCTTTCCATAGAGATTGTTGTAGCTGGTACTTTGAGCACCAGTTGGACTAACTTTGTTATCTCAGGGAGAGTCTGTAGCAGATCATTCTGGGCCTGAATGACTGGCCCAGAATGATCTGCCACAAGCAAATCTCCTGGAAGCTGTCTAGGAGATTTGCTTTAATTCCTCACGGTTTGTGAGCTGTACAGTCTGAATTTTTCAGCTCTGACGTTGGTCTTCTGTTTTTAATTACTTCCTCCTTGGACTGAAGGTCCAGGTTTTTGAATTTTTTTACTTTTCTTGTCATCCATTTGAAAACATGTAAAACAAAAAAAGTGCATTTGACTTTTACTCGACTCTGCAATTGAGAGAATTAATCAATCAACCTCTGTGTTGGTTCATGTATGCCAATCTTCAGTGCTGCTGAGTACTGCCCAGCCTCCTCCTGTACCTTTTTGCTGCAGCTTTAGTTCCATCAGCAAAACTAAATATGTCACTAACTAACATTAAATGTAACTGGTTAAAGATATTAACAAAACTGAGGAAAATAAAGGTATATAAACATTTTATTGGCGACATGCAGTGATACAAAAAAAGCATGTCCCATTTGAATATGTCAAACCATTTTGTAATGCATTGCTCAATCAGAGGCTCGGCTCGGCTCGTTGTTGTCACACCTTGCGTTTCACCCTTGTATTTGAACTGGAAATATGCGATTTCAGCTATTTTGACTATAAAAAGGTTTGTATTTAATCAAACATAAAGATTAGCGAACAAATATTAATACTCATTTTATGTAATTTTCTTTCCTGTCATGATGACAGGTAAGGCACTGCTCTATCTGCCCCCCCCGACCGCACATCCCTGTGAGTCCAAATTGTTATCAAATTCAATCTAAAGAAAGTTAGCAAAGGCAAACACAGTGGTTGAGGCTGTGGATGATTTAAATGCAAGTAGGGATTTATTTTAGTTCAACGGATTCATAGAAAAGAAACACATAAGTTCAATATGAAATTTACATCACACTTTAGGGGGATCAGTGAAAATTTGACACCTTTATAATACATTTTAAATGAGGAAACAGAGGATCACTCTTTTCTTTAACAGTAGGCACTGATTTTTACTAATGGGAGTGTCATGATTATATTAAAGTTCTGATCCCAAGATGCAGAAGACCAAACAGAGAGACCAGGGAAAAGTTTAAACAGGTTTATTTAGGAATAAAGTGACAAATCCAGTGCTGCTCTGAACACTGCTCAACAGGGACTGAAAGGTGAGGGGAAGACACTGCGGTTAGTTCAGGCTCAGTGGGAAATTTGAATCTTAGGTTTAGAATAGGAGGAAAAGGGTGCAGACTCACTTCTCTGGGAAAAGGTGTCCTTTAAGGAATACAGTCTGTGAGGAAAGTTCCAGAGATTATCTTGTTTGGTGATGGGTGGACTGGGTTACTCAGACTGCGGTTGATCCTTGGTGAATGGAGAAGCTGACTGCCACTCAGATTTCCTGCAGTACTGAGGCTGCGGTGCAGATGAAACCTCTGCTTGGTGTGAAGCTCAAATGACCTCTTGGGGAAAGTGGGTCCAAACCTCCTGTTTGGAATCCCAGCTCAGTAAGAAGCTTAGTTGAACCTTCCAGAGAGAGAAGGACCGAACAAATCCAGTTTGCAGGATGACTTCCTGCCGAGAGGCAAAGACAAAAACAAAGTTAAGACTCAGGTTGAAAAAAAATCAGCTTGGCTAGAGAATCCAAAACTGACAAACAAAAACTCAGGTTAGACTCTGCTTAACTAAGCATGGCTTGAGTACCCAGTATTGGCAAAACAAAGACTTGGGTTAGACTCTGCTAAACTAAGCATGACTAGAGTACCTGTATTGGCAAAACTAAGACTTAGGTTAGACTCTGCTAAACTAAGCATGCCTAGAGTACCCTGGCAAACACTCTAGCGTGGAGGTAGTGGCAGTCAGCAGCTTAAGAACACTCCACAGGTAATGAGGCAATGAGCTGCAGGTTTGCAGGGAGAGCCAATGAGGACGGGGCACCACGTGGTGGAGGAGAAAAGGAAACACAAAAACAAACCCCACAAACTGGATTCCTGACAAGGAGTTTCTTAGGAGTGCCATATATTGTGACTTACACCTTTAGGTAAAACTCGCACATCATCTGGATCATTACCAAATTTTATTGAATTGTTCCTTGGCATCATGCATACCTCTGGTAAAAATGCACATTTCCATAAAATCTGCTCATAAGTTTTCAATTAATCCTGATTACAAACCAACAACATTGCCTTTTCTGGTGTTTTTATTTTCAGTAAAATACCTCTTGGACTTTTTGAGTCCGATACTGAGAATCTCAGTAGTCACTGCTGCCACCCTCTGGTTTAAAGGGTAACTGCTTGTTCCACAAATATCCCTGTCTCAGTGTTATAGATTCTTTAAAAAAAATGTCTGTATCGGGATTATGATCTGGATCATTATCAAAATGTAATTGATAGTTCCTTGGCATGAGGGACACCTCGGATAAAAATATCATTAAAACTCGTCCATAACTTACCCTGTGCCAAGAGAGACAAATAACCTCTCCTAACTGCATAACCTCCTTGGACTCCTAAAAATCAGTCCCAACTTTTTACTATTTTATCACTCCTAAAAAAGCTGGTGAGTCTGACTAGTCATTGCTTTCGAAGAGGCATAGACTTGATGTGGCCCTTTCTGCTTGATTGATTGATCAATTGATTGACTTTATTTATGTCACAGGGGAGAACAGCTGAAGTCTCTTATTTAACAGAATTATTATACAGGATTATTGCACAGTTTGTTCAGTCTCTTTCTGTCCCACTCTGCGCTGCCAGGGGCCTAGCAGACGACAGCTTAGAGGAGGGCTGAGGCCACCACAGAGTCAGCTGTCTGTGTTAAAAGTAAAGTCTGAGGTGTAGAGGTTGAAGAGAAATGGAGACAGCCATGCTGAGGGCGGTAGGTGAGGTAGTTGATGGTCTAAGCAACAAAATGTTTGTCACACCAGCGTCTTCCAGCTTCGCCCTCAGCAGCGCTGGTCTGGTGGTGTTGAAAGCACTGGAGAAATCAAAGAAAAAGAACATTACTTTCACAGCACTCCAGGTGGGTGAGTGCCCGCTGTAGCATGTAGATGATGGCATTATCCACTCCAATGTCAGGCCGGTAAGCAAACTGCAGCGAGTCCAGGGTGGGCTAACCCTATGCTGCTCTTCTGTGTCCTCTGAGATGAAAGCCTTTTTCTTTTGGTCCTGGTGGACTTTCAGCTAAGTTTAGGTTGTTTGGAAAGCTCTGTAGCCATCGTGTAGGCACAGTGCTCTCCACATGGAAGGTCATGTAGTCAGTGATGCATTCTGTCAGGCTGTTGATGTCATCACCATGACAGCCTTAGTTCCTCAGTGGCCTCATCTGACAAAATTTCACTGACCTCTTCTGCACTGGTATGTAATGGGGGAGCAGGTAGCATCCTAGTGGGGGAAGGGGGAGGAGGTATAGGCATCCTTAAATTTGGAAAAAAAAAGGTCCAGAGTTTTATTGTCTCTTGTTGTACATGTCACGTACCAAGGCTCAGTTGAAGTCTCCGGTGATGAGCAGGAAAGCATGGTGTCCGTGGAGTGGGGGATTTAAAAATAGAGTACTATAACATTCCCAAACTCTCATGCTCACCACAAGTAGCTCCACGTCCGGGGAGGATACCTGTTCCTTAACATCAACATGAGCCGCGTTACACTGTCTCTCACTCACAGACATCGCCAGACTTTAGACAGCCAGAAGAACTATGTCCTCAAATTTACAGGCCCCATAAATCAGATCCCCTGTGGCCCCTGGCTGTATTATTGTCCATAAACTATATGAACAGGATCTTTGGCAGAAGTTTGTATTTTTGGGCACAATACCAATTTCAGTCTTGGTTCTAAAATAGCTTGTTAATTAACAATACAAAAAATAATTATAATTTTTTTTTTTACACTTAAGCAAATACTACTTTGTGTTGGTCTATAACACAAAATATATGAAACATATGGAAATATTGTAGTTGTAATATGATAAGAAGCTGAAAAAAGGAGCATGAATATTTTCTTGAAATATTTTGAGTTTAGCATTTTTGTAGTTTCCCCCCCAAAAATTACAAGTATTTACATACAATTATAAAAAAAACAGAAGTATCTCTTTGTTTAATTAATCAAGTAATTTATTGGACTTTGTTTTTAACAGGGACAAACCTGGAGACATATTTGGAGGATCTGGGGTTGGAACCATTCCACTGCAAGAACCTGTCCCTAAGTGAGATACTTGAGATCAATAAGAAGACCATCAATGATGAGCCTCCCAAGTGTAAATCTGATGTTCCATGGTATTTCCTTAAGAAGCTGATGATGGCAAATATAACAGCTAGAAAGTTAAAATGCACACCAGCTTCTGAGTCAAACTGTGAAGAGACATTAAGTGCTGAAGAGTTTGATTTTGATCTGCTCGTAAGTCCACACAAGGATGAGTCACTAAATCCTCTTGATATAATCACTGCTCTGTTTCTGTGCTCTGATGGGTTTGTTCAGCAAGAACTGGCCCTAAAAATGTCCATGTGTCAGCTTTCTGTTCCTCTGCTGCTTCCTTGTTGTGATACAAAGCAGTGCACCTTCATGCTTTGGGCCATGAGAGACATTGTTAAGAAGTACAGACCTCCAGATCTTTCAGAATCAAAGGGCTTCATAGAAGAAAGAATTGTTACTTCTGAACTTCCTATGGTCTCTTTTGTGAGACTGGGTGAGTGCTCCATGTCCAAATCAGAGATCCTCAACAAACTCCTGAGTAACTCTGAGCAGTACCATGACACCTTTGTACACCACAACATGGAGTGTGGAGACAGTCCAAGAAGAATATCCAATGGACTGACTGAAATTACCTGGTATCTTCCCTGTGGAAACAAAAGCATGGACATTTTCAGTGAGCCAGTAGCTATAGCTAACCTTCGCGGTGACATAGCTTCATTTGAAACACAATTCTCCTTTTTGTGTCAGACATCTGCTGCTGTTTTTGTGTTCTTTGATGAGCTGGAGCAGCTGGAATCACAGTTAGAACTGTTGGCTAACACAAACCACAAATCAAAAATATGCTTGTTGGGAAACCAACAGAGCAAGAACTTTAGAGTGGATAATCTAAAAAAACTGGCAACCAGTTTGGCCTTAACTAATAGCAACATTCTAGTAAAGACCAAAGAGATAAATGATGCAGACTTTGTCAAACTATTGAGAAAAAGGGTAAATATTGTACTTAATAATTTGGAGCACAAGATGTCTTTAGAGAAGATGTCTGATGTTGCCCAGGAACTTGGAATCATTGTTGATGAACACTCTTTAGAGTGTCAGGCTGGAAAGATGAATGCAAATGCCATCACTGCAGCGATTCATGACACACTGAAATTCAAAGAAGATCAGCTTCCTTTACAGGGTCAAATATGGAAGGAATTGACTTGCTTGGAAAAGGAAGAATTTCGTCTTCGAAATGTTGGTTCAGAAAACATCGAAAATTATAAATGCAGACTTCAGGATAAAATAAATGAACTGCGGAAAAAGCAGAATGATAATGATATGTCTGAAGCAATGACATGTTTTATCAATGCCATATCTACTCAAGAGCCAGAAAGGTGCTACTTCCTGAAATGGATGAGAATGAACCTTGATAACCAGTCTCGCATAAAACTCTCCAGCCTGCGGGAGAGGTACAAAGAGAAGAGCAGGGACTCTGAGAACAAACAAGAGATCAAAGAAATAGATGAACAACTTTCCAATAGCTCACTGGGAGTTGAGCACTTCTTCCGTGAAATGGGTCAGATCTACGAAGCTTCTCTTTCTCTTCCTGAAAGTGATTCATCACGTCAACAACTGGAACATCTGCCTAAACTCTGTGCTCAGTTGTTGCTGGATGGATTACCTCTTGAGCTTGTAGATGGAGATGCTTCAAGCATACCTCTCAGATGGGTGACTGATGTTCTCTCTCAGCTCAATGACTTGGTGTCTCCTAAGAACAAGATAGTGGTCGTCACAGTTCTTGGAGTTCAGAGCACAGGGAAATCCACCCTCCTGAACACCATGTTTGGAGTGCAGTTTGCAGTCAGCAGTGGTCGATGCACTAGAGGTGCCTTCATGCTGCTCATCAAAGTCAATGAAGACTTCAAAAATGTTCTAAACTGTGACTTTATGGTGATCATCGACACTGAAGGCTTAAAGTCTCCTGAACTCGCTCAACTTGACAACAGCCATGAACATGACAATGAGCTGGCAACACTTGTTGTTGGGCTGAGTGATGTCACCATTATCAATATTGCAATGGAGAATTCAACAGAAATGAAAGACATCCTGCAGATAGTGGTGCATGCTTTCCTCAGGATGAAGGAGGTCGGCAAAAAGCCCAGATGTCTGTTTGTTCACCAGAATGTTTCTGATGTTTCAGCTCATGAGAAGAACCTACGAGACAGAAAGCTGCTCCTAGACCAGCTGAATGAGATGACCCAGGCAGCAGCTAAAATGGAAAAGAAAGAGAAGAACAAGAAATTCACTGATGTCATGGAGTACAATCCAGACACTGGGAACTGCTACATTCCTGGACTCTGGAATGGAAACCCACCAATGGCACCAGTTAATGCAGGATACAGTGAGGCTGTCTATGAGTTCAAGAAAAATATAATCCAACTGCTGGGAAAGTGTGGGTCAACTTCTAATAACATCTTGGAGTTCAGAGAGTGGATAACCAGCCTGTGGAACGCAGTAAAACATGAGAACTTCATCTTCAGCTTCAGAAACAGTCTGGTAGCTGATGCATATATGAGGCTCTGCACAGAGTACAACAAATGGGAGTGGGAGTTCAAAAAAGGAATGTACACCTGGGTTTCCAAAGCAGAAACTAGAATTTCTAATTTCCGTACATCTGCTGAACAATCTGATTTGTCTGACCTGCAGAACTTGATTACTGAGTTGAAATGTGAGGCAGCCACAGAGCTTACCAAGTGGGAGTCAATGACTCTTGAAAATCTGAAAAAATACTTTGAGCAGCCAGAAGGCCATGTTTACCTGGTTGAACGATACAAGGAGGACTTCTCAAACAGCATTAAGAGTCTTCGACTACAAACTGAAAGATCGGTGTGCAACCAGCTCACAGCAGTAGTTGACATCAAGGTTGGAATGAATGAACTGGATAAAATCAAGCAAAATCAAACTAAGGAAATTGAAAAAGCAGTTTGTGCTTTAATCGAGAAATGTCGAAAGAAAAATGTTAAAATGACAGACAAAGAGCTTGATGAAAGTTTTAATACAATGTGGAATGAAAAACTTAAAACCTTGCCTTTCTTGGAACAACAGCCTTTAGATATTTTCACCAGTGTGTCCCTTCAGCTACAAACAAATCTTTCACCCAAAGGAAGCCATGCATGTCAACTGCTGAGTAAAAAAAAAACTTAAAGATTGTGGTTTGAAGCCCTATCAATACACACCTAAAGGAGTGGTGGAAAACATGAAAGTTCGTTTGTATGGATTTATAAAATGGAAGGATCTAGTAAAGGAGAGACAAAAAAATGCAGATAGCATCATATCTGCTTGTACCAATCTTGTAATGGGAAAAGTGGAAAAGGAAACAAACTATCATGATACTTACATCCAGGAGATCCTTCACCTCATTGATGAGAGGCTGAACAACAATAATGTTAACAGCGACACTGACTTTGAGGTTTCTCTGAAGCAGCACATCTGTGGAGCTGCTGCTAGAGAGTTTCAAAAAATGCATGAAGATTTCATACAAGAAAATGATCCATACAGATGTTTGCAGAAAAATAAGGAAAAGTTCTGCACAGATTTTAAAGATGTGTTCAATGAGAGAGATCAGTGCCAGAAGAAAGCTGAAGAATTCACCAACCAATGTCTGAAACCTGCTGTGAAAGACTTTGTCTATCGTTCTCTTGGTTCAGATATTGTTGATAAAATGCTGACAAAAGAAGAGTTCAGCACACGGATGTCCTTCCAGTATTCAATTTTACTGGATTTGATTGAAAAAGATGATTTCAGCTACTTTCAGAGCTATATTTGCTTTTATGAAGGTTTTGTAAAAGATTGGATACTTGATAAAATCAACGAGAAATTCTCCTCTGAGTTCTCAGTATGTGAGTGTGAGGAGAGACATCTACAGTCCTGCATTAACGATATAAATGCTGCAATTAAAAATGCAAAAGAAGAGAAGGCTGAGAGTCTGAGGACATTTGTTGAAAATGTCAGCAAAGAACTCAATGATATATTAGTAATTTCCCCGGACGCTCTTGATAACTTCATGGTTCTCAACAATGCTGACCGGGAACAGTTTGCTTACTGGCTCAACGTGTGTGTGAAGGACATGATAGAAACTCTTAGGAACAAGTTTAAAGATAATCCCTTTGAAGCAAAACTCACACGTCTCCGTGTAAAACCACAGGATGAGCTTTTCAACAGAGTGATTGGTTGTGGAAAACAATGTCCATTCTGTAAAATACCCTGTGATGCAGGTGGAAAAGCTCACACTGAACACTTTGCTTCCCTGCATCGACCAGATGGTTTGGGTCAGTACAGGTGGGAGGACTCAGAAAAACTCACAACTGACATCTGCTCGTCTCTTGTTATCAGTGGCCTGAGATTTTGCTGCTTTGCCACGAAAAATGAATATCATCCATATAAGAATTATAAAGAAATTTTCCCAAACTGGGATATTCGTCCAGATTCGAGTCTTGAGGCATCTGATTATTGGAAATATGTGCTGGTCAAGTACAATAAGAAATTTGCTGAAGCATATGATGCAAAGCCTGCTGATATTCCTTTTTGGTGGAACTTTATCACTAAAGATCAGGCAATAGAGAGCCTTAGGGAGTCATTCAACATCAAGTAAACTCATTGTTTATTTTTGGGTTCATTTCTTTCTCTAAATGCAAAATAAAATACTAAAGACAAATTTGTTATGAATTGCTCAAATATCATTTGTATTAATGTTTTTTGTTCTATTTTTACTTTTTGAGGCCTTGAGTCTGAAATAATCTTTCAAATTTAACAACTCAAGGCAATTAACTGTCAACTGTAGTTACGTGTACATTATGTAGAGGTATTGCTGCACAGTTATTCATTTAATGTGCTTTTGTTTGATAGAAAGCCTGATAAAAAATGTAACACTAAACTCACTTAAATTTTGTGACACATAAGTTAGGTTAGAAAGGATGCAAATGACATTTAATCAGTCTGTAAAGAGGTTCAATTGATTATATATTCTTTGATATGTAAACTGAATACAATTTTTTGTTATTTAGAGCAACTTCAATAAATATTACTGAATAAAGAATAAGCAGTTGTGATCTTTGACATCTGATGCCAAATTCTTTAGTGTTAACTATTTGTTGCTGTGTGATGTTTCTAGTTATTTCTACTGTATGTGTTTATTGTTTATGGTTTTCTTAAAGATGATTCCTGAAAGATGTGTAGTGCTGCTACCACAGATGATCTCGCTCTCGAAATAGAACTGAATGATTCAGATTAGCTAGGCGAATGAATAGAAGGAGTGGAGCATAGCCGCCTGTGGCCCGGGCTGCCTGTCACAACTCCAGTCTGGCGCGCGGATGACGTCATACACACTCCGCTTTGTTTTAAAAAGATATAAATAATGTAATCGCGGATGTCTGGGGGACAGTGATTCACCTACATGTTATGAATGCTGGCGTACCATAAAGAATAAATTATGAACAGTTTAGTTAGTGCCTTAAACTTGTTGCCCATAGGTAGATGTTACTTGCATATCTAATGAAATATCTTCAGAACAGCTCCAAATGACACAAAACTAATACAGTTGAGTAGAACATGAGGTAATAACGTAAAATCAAGGGCCAAATGTAAAAAAAAAAAAGCTGTTCCCCTTTAATAAGTCTTTTTTATGAATGCTAACGGTTACTCTTATCAACTTCCCCTGATAAGATACTGTTTTTACAACTACTTTACCACATTAGACCTGCTAACCCTAATGTGGAGGTGGGAAAAGGGCCAGTCAGTTTCTCTACACTAAACTTTATCTATCTGCAACAATGAAGGTGAATTAAATCTACTAATCTACTAATCACGAGGGGAGTGGTGGCCTAGTGTTTAGGGGATTGAGCTTGGGTTTGTACTTGTGAGAGTGTAATGACTATAAATTGAGCCTAGGTGGAAGTTCAATTGATAAACTGATTATTTGCCTTCATCCGCCTACGACACAGCCAGTCAGCTTTGAGCCACGCCTCAACAAAATCCAATTATTAAAAGTTTATCTTAAAAGGCCTCCAATCCGCAACTCGTGTGCTACCTAGTGCAAAGGCAGGGGTTGCGCTGTGTTTGACTTGATTCAGATGACCCCGTTTCAACTCAAATGAGCTTTGGACCCTCCTGCACTGGCTGCAGCACAGATTCCATTCCCTGAGACACCTGCTGATCCACACGATGCTGTAGAGAAGAGTTTGTCTGTGGTTGTGGTGGGCCAGAACACTTAGCCACAGCCTATCATTGCAGTCATCACTGCATCGTTACTTCCAAGCGTCAGAGTCTCCTTGCTTGGTCAGCCAATTTTGGCATTGTGCATCATCCCCAGCGACGCTCTTTCATTTCCAGGCTGCTTAATCTGGCTAATTGCATTTTCTTCCTCCTTGTCTAGGTTCACTGTATAAAGGCTTCCATCTTGGATCAGCAAATCTTTTAAACCATCACATCATTCTGTCTGCAGCCATGCTTCAACTTTACGGATGCTGCCCCATCCATAGGTTTTAGGGGGTGCTTTCAAATAGTTGGTTCTCATTTTTACGGCCTGCCCCCCTCATCAATTCTAATTCTCTGCTCTGTGAGCTTTACCCATTAGCTGTAGCTTGCGTCATCAGGCCATTCATTCAGAATGGGAGCAGCCACAACAGCTTTCTGTGGCGTCTCCTTGGCTTTTCTCATAAACGGGGCTGATAGTCATCAGCCAATGCCTCATATATCTGCCCTGAGCATGCCTTCATCCATCCAAACTGCTCAACGCTCTCTAAGCCTTTAAGGGTAAGCTAACTACAAATACTGGTGGTGGTTTCAAAACTCATTCACATCCTTCATCGGATCTTAATGTTTGATTATTTGAGTTGTGTTTTATAACCCATTCTCATCACTCATCTCACTCCTGTAATCCGTTTCCTGCCGATGTCTGTGTGCCAAAGACAATTTTATAAATACATTTCTTCCACCAAGTCGTGCTAAGTTTGTGGCTACTCTTCTCATCTAGATTAGCAGTGGGATAAAGATGATATCCTCTGGTTCATTCAGAGGGTGAGCAAGTGGGTCCAGTTGTTCTGCTTTGCAGAATCCAGTCAAAATGTTCTGCTTGGCCTCTAATGCAGTTGACTTTCAGAAAGGAGAACTTTTGCATCTTCAATTCACCCAGGCTGTCCTGGTAGTCCAATAACAGAGGTGGTTCTTCTCAGCATGCTTGCCTGAGGGGGCAATCAAAGGTTTGGAACACATTCTATTCAGTTACTGTATGGCGGGTGGGTAACAGCTTTCAATAACAACAGCAGTTTACCTTCAGTTCCTCTTTTCTCCTCCAGAGCAGCGGAGGCTCCAAAGGAGAAACAAGGGCAGCTGTTGTTGTCTTTCAAAAATCTTTGGTGTGAGCTTCAAGGCATCGTGGAAGCTATAGTTACTTCATGTTTACAATGATCACATTTTTTACTGTAGTTTTGTTTATAATAACTTCCACAGTGCTCTTCATATACAACTTAAATGTTTTTATCCTAAATGTTTATATTCTCATATTAATTGATGTTAACTCTATATTTGCTTTTCCATGTGCAGCACCTAACACCAAAACAATTTATTTGTACATTATGATGTGTAAAACCACTACTGTCAGGAAACTTTAAAAGTACCATCAAATATTGACTATTGATTAATAATTCACTACCTAAAAATCAGCTCTATTAAACAAGTTTGTTTGCAACGATGAATTTAACTTTCATTTGTTATGATTGTTATGCATGTTTATACAAGTCTCTAAAATGTGTTTTATCTTGTTGCGTAAGCCTTTCCCTAAATCTAAACAAATGTTGGATTCAGTGTTAAGAAGCGGAAGTAGCTTGTCATGTAACAATGGAGCGTAAGGGTGGGACATCCTGTCCAAAAGAGGTTATCATTTGAACCTTTGTTTTGAGCTGACATATAAAAAAAACACAAACACAAAAACTTAAGAGGGATTTTTATATTTATATATCCAGACTAAATAATTTGGGTAAAAAAGAGGAGTTGAATTAATTTAACTGCGATCCATTCCTTACAGCTAAGGTCAGCGGCGAGAAGGAACTTATGTATTTTCTGACCTAAAACACAGCTCCACATCTGTAACTGTAACATTTGATAAATCACACTCTGAGAATTATAAAAGGATGCTTTTTCGAATATTCAATTCAATTTCAATTCAATTTTCAATTCAATTCAGTTTATTTATATAGCGCCAAAATTCACAACACATGTCATCTCAAGGCACTTTACAGTTNTCTGACAAAATAAAGGACACAAGGTGCAGTCTGGCTATGAATGTCTTTAATGTTTCCCAGATCAGAATCACAGCATACAGTGTATAATAATTTCTAACGCAACAGAAATATCATCACCTCATTTATTTATATGATTTTACTTTCCTTTTTTAGCTTTTTCTTTATTTACCACTGTTTGTTCATCTCAAGTATTGAGTATCTGAAATCAACATAGAATATAAAAAGCAAGACAACAGGTGCAGATTATTCATGGAAACCCAGGTTACATCACTTCATTGTTTGTTGGGTGTTTGTGATTTGATTCAAATCTGAACAGATGTAAGGTCCAATTGGAACAATTTTCCATCTTCTAATCAATCCTTTTGCTGCATTAAACCCTGCGGTAGTAACTTTCATAACAAAAAACCAACACAGTGACATGATTGAAAAGGTTCGACCACCTCTGTGATCTCACGAGGCATCTTATGGTGTTAGAGCCCTAATATTTTGTCCCACACATAAGCAGCTACATGAACCACTGCTACATGATAAGTAATCTTATATATCTTTGCATTTTTTTTTAATATAATACGCCTGTTTGGATTTGAATTAAAATAGTAAGAAAAGATCAAATTTATAGATGCTGCCCGACTTTAAAATTATAATATTTCAGTAGAACAGATTTGTCAGAAGGTAAGAGTGGTGATGAAAGGACATCTAAGTATTAAAGTCTACATACATACAAAATAAAAAAAAAAATGAAAATATTAATAAACCATGCAAAAAATCTGCAGACAGTATCTCTGGGCCCTGGTTGTTTGGGGGCTTCAGTGAAACTCTGCTACAGAAGCTTCAGGAATCTTGTTGCTACAGAATATCTACTGTACATGATGATGGTTAAGTGAAAAGATGAAAAGACTAATTCTGTTCTAGTTGATTACAAGTGACTATTTATTTTCTAGTGGTGATTTGTTTTCATTATCAAACTGCACCTGTTGTCTTTTGTTGCCACTAACGAAGCATGACCTTCATCCACCCCCCAAAAAATAAACAAACCAAGAAACTTAATATTTACAAATTTTTCATCTGTTTGATTCTTACAGTTAAAAATGTACAGTTTTGATCCTGATCCAGATGTTGTGTATCTCTTCAGAGGTACTGTATTCATCTTCATCCAGCTGCACTGAAATCTGCAACAATGGCTCCCTCTATTGTTAACATATGAAACAGACCACCACATCCAAACTAAATGTCTTTCTCCTTTCCCCGCTGCGGTGTTAGGATTGACTTCACAACCTGTTACTTCATTTGTCCACAGGAGAGATTACAAAAGAGTTCATATGTTGACAGATTTGCAAGTGATCCCTCTGGCTAACAATGCAGACAGAAAGACGGCCATGTCTTTGAATATTTTGCTGTCTTTCAATCAGTTTGTTCTGTCCTCTGATTTAAATTTCAACATTTAAGGCTGTGACACTTTCTTTTCATCCTTGTTTTCCCCACAGCATACCCACTTGTATTTTAGTTGGCTCCTGATCTATAGATCTAATCCACTCTTGATTTGCATTGTGCATATTTCCCACTTATCGGGTTTATAAAAATCTCTGCCAGGGGAGCTTGTTGTATTATCCCATTTCCAGCCCTGCTCTACCGCACAGGCAGCAATAAAATGACAAAAAGAAAGAGCCTAAAGCCGGAGCATGTTCAAAAACAGCAATAGTGACCTATGCCCCCCATACTGCGCATAAGCTACCATATGTTCCTGCTTTGTGAAATGACCCATACTACATATGCTGACATCTTCATCTTGAAAAGCAAAGCTTTAAAATAACTGCTTCCTAAACTAACAGAAGGAGAACAATTAGAAACAACAGACATGTACTGAGTTGCCTTTACCCTGTTCAAAAAAACCCTTCTCCTCTACAGCTGTTAAAGCCTGCCTGGTACCCTCAGTGTGCTTACAGCTACAAGGTTTAATTCATACATATGGAGATGCGAGATGAAAGTAATTACAATTTATGACAAGAAAATATGGGTAAGCGCTGCTATATATGGGTGTCAATCATAAGGAAAAGTATCGGAACATAGAAGATAATAAGGCGAGGTGAGTTTGCTTGCTGTTATGCTAACTAATGAGGGCCTGACATGCAATTTAAGGTGGCTCTGATATCATTTATGTAATTAAAAACATCCGTGTTATAGCATACATTCCACAAAATGTATGATCAAAGAGAGAAAAAATAGATTTTTCTTAACCTTGATTGTGTAGCTACAACATATTTGGATAGCCAAAAAGTGAGAATAGCAGCTAATGCTTCTCAGGTTGACACGGCACCACAATTTAGTAATGTACTAATCTGAGTTGTGGCCATGTCTAATTCTTTTCTTGTTTACAAGAAAGATGACTAATGAGTTTTAGTAAAAATTAGGAACATTTTATGAATTAAGAAAAACTTCCTATGGATCAATATAGAATTGGGAAAATGTGCATTGACAGATTCTTAAGCCTTTTTTCACATTACCATTCTTGAAAAATAATTCATGCATAGATCCCCATCGAGAAAACCCCTCTATATTCTTTCTCCTTTGTACACTTTTATATAGAACTATATATATCATTTCTCTATATCTATATTGTCAGCAAAAACTCTTGCCACAATAAAACACTGAAACAACAGCAAAAAGAAACAAGATGAATGAAATAAATCCACAATCAAAAGCCAGTTTGGCACTTGGTCATGAGAACATACAACCTGCTTTAGCTGACATGGATTCATTTCAATTCAACTTTGATCAGAAAGCAAAAACACACTTGGCACGAATTGTATTGATCGAGTGAATTGACGTTCCTTTTGACATCTCAGTACATTGTCGCTCTTTAAAGTAAAAGAGTACCCTAACGAGAGGAATCACAAGCCAATGAGCTGTAAATAAGACACAGATGTAGAAAAGAAACAAATAAGAAAACTCGCATAACACTCTAGAAGACAGTAAAAGCTGACACCAAAGTAAAAAAGAGAACACATCCAAGGTCCAAAAGTCTTTGTCCCTTTGAAAATTTCTTTAGACTGGAAACTGTGCACCTTCCTGGAAAAAGGTATGTCTGAAAGATCGACGCCACCTCCAGGCTGATTATCTGCTCTAGTGCAGTTCATTTTAGTTTATTATGTCTCCTGCTAAGCTGTACAGCACATGATGGTTGAGGTGGAGTTCCTCTGTAGAGAAACAAGAGAATGTAACAACGGAATGGAGGACGGCATCCCATGGCCTCCCTTCAAGAAGATGCAGTACTGCGACTTCTTCGTTTGGCTCGGCGTGGGCCAGTCCTACTATACCCTGGTGGTGGAGTGGGGATGGGGCAGGGTGTTGTTGTGGCCTGTGGAGGGGAAGGTGTTGAAGGCATGGAGAGGCTGCATGCTGGTGATGGTGCTTGGGATCATGGTAATGGTGTTGGGCGTCATCAATGGCACATCATCCGGAGCCCGACGCAGTGCCAACGTGTAGTCAGGAGGGCAGGCAGGTCGCAGGATGTCATGTGGCCGAAGGGGCTCCAGGTCATGGTGGGGATCATGCTCTGAGTGCTTCATTTGCAGAGACATTATCTCCTCCTCCTGGCTGTGAGCCAGGTCATTGGCGGGGACACCACGCTGAGGAGACAATCTGTGCCGTCGCATCTCGTGCCGCTTGTCACGTTTGTAGTATAGGGCGGCGAACGCCAGGATGTTGAGGAAGAGGAGGGAGGCTCCCACAGCAACTGTGACACTCAGCTCAGTGGAGTAGTCACGGGTGTCTCCAGGAAAAAGGCTCTGGACTGGACGCTCCGAGCCGTCAGGCTCAGGGTCGGAGGGGAAGGTCGGGTAGGGATAGAGAGTGGTTCGAGGACCTGGAGTTCTTAACTTGGGTCGCATGGAGCCAGGGCCTGGACCTGGTGGAGATCGGGTTGTAGTTGGGAAGACATCAGGTGGACCTAAATGGGGGACAAGTTCTAGCCAGAATGCTACCTTGTTCGCTCTGTAGTTGTCCCTTACTCGAGGTTTCAAGCCGATGTGAAGATACTGCTTGTCCTTTGGGTTAAACTTTGTCCAGATGACTTCTTCAAAGCGGTTGGGTTTGGTGTGAATGAACTTAGTGTCTTGAGGGACTGGAAGGTTGGGGTCACTGATGGAAGAATGATGAAAAATGAGATTAATTTCTTAATGCAAAACATACAACTTTTATTCATAAACTGCATTTATTTATTGAGGTGGTAGCAATATATGAAACTATTCAAAATCACCTAAAAAGCTTTAGAAAGACACCATGGGGTCTCATTAAGCATTAAGCATATTCAAGATAATAATTATAGAGCTACACAAGGTTTATGAGATGAAAATAAAACTTACCCCGTTTTAGCAAAGTTAGTCCAATAAGTCATGACCACAGCACTCAACATCACATCATTCTTCGAAAAGTTGCATGGGAACAGGTCAGTAGCACCGATCATTGGCACGCCAAACACATATGGTATCTCATCCCCATGGGCAGCATCAGCCCATTCAGGCCTCGCCTCGGTCTGGCAGTGATGGTAAAATGTGTAGAAGTAAACCGGGGACTGGAACTCAGCATGAAGTTTGGCAGTGGCCACAGCAGGCGCCACCCACTGGTGGTCTGTGAACAAAGCTAACAGAGTCTTTCTTCTCATGTCCCCATTGTCCCTGTCTGCCCAGTCTGTGTACATGAATTTAATGGTTTCCCTCAGGATGTTTTTTCCTGTAACAAAAGGAAAGGGAAATTAATTAAGTAATATTACAAAGAAGGCTGAGGGAGATAGAAACTGTGTATTTGTTTTGAAAAATGGATGGCAAGGAGCAAATCAGTGACATTCAAAAACATTTACAGGTTTAATTATTTCTTTAACATTTTTGTATTTTGTCTAGTTATAACTACAAATGTCAGTGTGCTTTATTGGTATTTTATTACGCGAGTAGGGTGGATGGACATCTTCGAATCCAAAAGCTGCCAGTTGGATTCCAGCTTCTTCTTGCCACAGGTTTATGTTCCCCTAAAGCAAAGCACTTAGCTCCAAATTGCCTGCTGACCTTTTTATCTGTTGAACAATTTGGTTCTAGGATAAAGCATCTTGAGTGTTCAGAATGAGTAGAAATCCATTCTATTTACTATATGACTTAACGTAATTATAAAAAAACAGGTGTCTGTGAAAGTCTCAGGGAGAGACCCAACTTTCAGCATTATAAAGTACAGCCAATATATTAGAGGAACATTTTTGGATAAGTTTAAAGGTTTATAAAAAAAAAAAAAAAAACAACATCTACACTTTTGATGAGAATGACAGAACAGCTATGATCTACTTATATGAACCATATACCTTCAGTAAAGACATCAGTCTTTTTAAAAACATTGTAAAACTGGTAACAGATATAAATGTACTTGATATTATGTAACAGATATTTAAATATGAAATATCATGTAACAGCTGACTTAAACCTGCTGTAGCTGTAACTATACTGCGGTGTATTATTATATCAATATAAAAAGAAATGACTGGATGGAAATACAGAATCAGTATCATAAATCTAATATCCTATCCAGCTAATTAATCAATATAAAAACTGACAGGAAATCAGGGTATGGGATCAGTTTATTTCTCTGAAGAGGCTTTTTAGCCAGTGATTTACAGGAAAATAAATTCATGTTTAAATCTTCCTATCAAAGTCTGGTGAAAAACTGGAACATTTATCTTAATCCATACTCCCTGTCCAATCTATTTTGTAAGAAGGAATTGCCAAGAATTTCAGTTAGGGTCAGACATACCCAAAAAACAGCAAAAGGTGTTAAAGCAAAGTATTTATGTCAGCATATTACTAAAATGCAAACCAAATTTCTCAGACTTCTAGTAAAAATATAAAACCCATGGATGGTTTTCCATCTACCTCTTGCAATACTTTATGTAGGTCTATCACAACAAATTAAAGTCTGTGGCCATAAAATGACAAAATGTGAAAAATCTCAAGAATTATTAATGATTTTTCAAACCACTGTATGTTAAAAGGCTAGAAAAAGCTACACAAAGACAAGAACACACATTTCCTTTTAGATATCACAGTGACTGACAAGGACTTGGAAAGGAGTGTGACTGTATTATTCAACCGTGCATGTATTTGAACTGCTGCTTGCTGCGAGGGGTTTGCAGGCTGAGCTGTTAGGAACAACAGCGCTGTGATTGGGAGCCGGCTGCCTGCGGGCTGATGAGCGACAGCATTAGTGCCCACAGAGCCCCAAAGGCCAAAGCACAGACCCACCATGGTGAGAGATAATCTCCATGATAGGCAATCTCGTTAGTATGCTTGTCTTGGCTGATACATAACACTGAACACACTTTTTGTTTCTTCTCATTTTCTTGCTCACATATTGTTTTAAAGGCTTACACTTCAATAGAGAGACGTGCTTCTGGGGTGTTTGATGTTTTTTCTTTATGCTCAAAAATAGATCTGTGAAAGAGTCCATGCATTGCAATCTGCGGCAGGATCATGTGGGGAGAGATTTAAAGGCTGACAGATGTATGGGGTCAGGGTTCCTCACCTTCAGGATATAAATAAAGGTTATCCACAAAGTTAGAGATTGTGTAGTCAAAGGCTGCAGCAGAAATTCCGTCATTATCCTCACTGTCATCCACAAATTTCAGTCCCTCTCCCTGGTTCACTCCCATGAGGATGTCATAGTTAAGGAACTCCCCCTGGTGGAAGAAAAAATGAAGTACAATTTAGAGAAATAAGCACTTGTTCTGCTACAAAAGATTCAATTTTTCTGTAAATCCTTATTAATTTGACAATTTAAAAATGTAATATTGATACTTATTCATCTAAGAATGCCAATTAGAATGCTGGTAATGCTTTTTGTTAATGCATATTGGAAGACTGTTAAAAAACAGTAGGTGAGGGAAGATGAAATTAGATTTCAGTTTTAGTGACATAAGGTTCTCTGATTAAATGTACTTTTTCTGAAGGTAATAATGAATTGGTTTAATAAGCTTAAATGGCACCACAGCTCTGATTATGAGACATTAATGCTAATGCCATTTAAAATAATGATCTTTTAGAGTTTTTAAAACTCTCAGGCCAGTTAATACACAACGAAAAACTGCAGATAAAGAGCTTTTAGATTTAATCCCTAATTATTACTGATAGTGTTGGAAATTTGTACTTGTGAACTAATAAGAGGGGTTGTGCTCTTCATTTCTGGTATTAGTGTTTATATATGCACTAAGATGTATTTTTGTTTAAGTCCACATCCTTTCATTTTTAATTTATTGACATTTCTTCCAAACTATCTTTTAGATATCAGAAGGCCAATATGGTAGCACAGTTATATGTTTTCAAAATCTGGTTCTTTGTTAGACTTCTTCATTGTTTGTGTTTATTATTATCGGTTTTAAATGCTTTAATAAATTATTGTTATTGGGTCTTTTTACTTATCTCCTCACACAGCATAGATATAGCTCCAGTTTTTCTCACCAGTGCCAAAATTATTTCATTGTAAGCAATTTCGCTTACTTTTAAAAAGTTATTTTTTTATTAACAATATTATTCTAATTTTTCTGTTTAATTTATTTTATCATTTCATTGTTTTTCCAGTGACATATTAGTGTGTTTTACACTTTTTTGCATCACATTTCACTGTATAAGTCTATGATTATCATTTATTAATATATATTTATAAAAGGGTTTCTACTACATGTTCACAACATTTCTTCCCTCTTGACGTTTATAATGCTGTGCAGTTTTTTTTTCCATATTTAAATGCTTTTTGCTTTCATCCTGCAAATCACCATCTGAATAATAATAAAGCTGAAGAGCAAAAAGGCTAAATGTTTAATCAAATGTCTTTAATTGTTTAATTTATAAAGGAAGGTTTAGGAATATTCTATTTTAAAGGGATTAAGAGATCAATTGAGAAACACAGTTAAAAACTGTCCATCTAAAAAATGGGATGTAGTTCTCCATGTGTAACATGTGACTTCCCACCAGCAGCTAAATGTCACATCTTGACCTGTAACTGTGTGGAAAGGTCACAGCCACACCTTTCTCTCAGTCCTCAGTCATCTCAAGAATCACCAAAGCTGTTCATAGAACAAAACTGCAGCTAAGGTCATCAGCAGACGCTCACCTGCTGCATGAGGATCTCTGGATCGTCTGGTACCACATCTCCATCCACCACAGGGCCAAAAGCAATGTGGTAGCGGGATGGCTGAATGTCCTGGTCCACTAGCTCCCTGAAGGTCTTTCGCCTTAAACAGTCTACGAGGTCGGCGGACTCTGAGTAGCTGCAGCCCACCTTCCGGGCCAGGATCGTGGTGTATTTCAGGGGCTCGTAGTTGACGGACCAACTGGCAATTGCTGTGCCACTCTGAGCAATGGCCCGGTGGAACAGCCCTAAGAAGACAACATTTAAAAAGAAATGTAATAAACTTGCAGGTTATGATGTCCTAAGAAAACAAGTTTTGGTGTATTTTCTACAAAGTTTCTCAGTTTATCAGTGCTTTGAGGTTGACAAGAACATGATGCAAAGAAACCCTTTTTTATATTATCTCTAACTGTAAATCTGACAGATTTTGAACTTAAAGCAGTCCTTACAGAGCACACTATAGAACTCCAGCTAAGGATACTGACCCCGGACTGGGAATAAGCTCTTCCTCTAAGTTAAAAGATCAATTTTAACTTTCCTTTCCTCTCGCCTTAGCTCTGCGCCTCCCTGGTTCTCCACCCTTTAGTCTCCTTCTCTGTCTCTTTAGTTCTGCCCATCCTGAGCTGTTGAAGCCACTCGAGTGGCTTGTTAAGGGGGCTGCCTGCCTCTCTTGTTTTCTCTCAGGCTCTATTTTTTCCTTTTCGTCTCCTCTCCAGGGCTGAAGATTGGTCAGTTAATTATTAAGCAGAGCTGCAGAGTCTCCTTTCCCTAAGGGATCAATTATAGTAAGAAGTAGCTTGGAAAAAGCTACACCTACATACATATCTGCACCAGGAGACCTAGAAGGACATAGGAGGGGAAATGGTTATATTTGATTGGTCCTCATGATTGGGCTCTGTTCTGCTCGCTGTTTGGAAGTTATTTATTTGGCAGCTGGTCTTTTCCTATTTTCTGCTCCTTATTAGCTCAGTTAATCAGGTTGGACCTAAAAATATATTTCTCGTATCTTGCAAAAGTATCTCAACACCTTAGGTTGAACATCAGATCTTTCTTACTTTTGATGCATGCATGTATAGGCCCCTTTAATCTAATGCCCCTAAATAAAATCCAGTGCAAACATTTGCCTCCAGCAGTTATCATTACTAAATGGAGCCTGTAACTATTTCTGAGCTTCAGCTGTTCTGTGAAGGACTCGGATGTGTGGTAGGGGAAGTTAGAGAACAAACAAAATAACGAGGAACAAAAAACATGCCAAAAAAGGTCAAACACAGCTATGGATCTACGAAAATCTAATCTCCCACCTTAATGGGCAGGTAAGGGAAAACCAGTTATTCTGGAGGGACTGCAGAAATTCAAAACTCAGGTGGACGATCTGTAAAATTCTTCTTTTACCATCATTATTCTGTTGTAATATTGTCATTTATCCATGCAGGACTGTGACTGCTTTATTATTAAACCACATTATATATGTACAGTTCGACTTTTAATTCAGAGATTTTCTGGCATGATGACAGCCATTCCTATAAATAAGTAAGGAGATGTTCACTTAGCATTCTTCCTAAAGCCATGTAGGGCAGCAGTTTACAATCCCCTTGGATTAATCAATTTAAAAAGTATGAGCTTTAGAGTTATTTTCAGAAATTATCCAAATAACAAATAAAATAATGAATTGCTAAATTTCAGCTCTAAATGTTTATATTAATGACACAACCATTACTTTTGCCAAATTATGCTGTTTACTGTAGCTTGTTATTCTAGCCTTGTTTAATTGACAAAGTAAAGATAGTTGTAGCCATACCAAGTGGAGTAACATCTGCTTTTCTTTAGTGGGGACAAGAAAAGCATCAAATACCTAAAACATGCAGTCAGATTTATGATAAAATGGTTTCAATCACAGCATTTTCATATCTTTGAATTACCTCTAGTCAAATCCTACTGGCAGTGTGTGGGCGGCACAAATGTAAAACTCTAGATTAATATAGGCAGTGGAGACATACCTTAAAAGATTACAGGAAAGGGGAATCTATAAACTTTTAGCCCAACGTATCAATTCCCTTCCACCTTGTTATTGTGTGCTATTTTGTGTCTGTCTGTAACATAAATTCCCAGTAAAATTAATTTAAGTTTAAGCTTCCAAGTATTCTATGGGGCTTTTCTTCAAATTCAAGCTATGTCTCTCATCCTATAATCAACATTTAGAACCCTTCTCTCCATCACAGCCTATTTGGCACACTCCCACTGTCAAGGTTGAGCCGCTAGAACCAGATGCTGGAATGACTGGTGTCCTTTAATGACAGACTCCTTACCTTGGTTGGTACCTTGGAGAGGGGAAAGGGGAGAGGAAGCATGACAGACAGGGCTGCGTCTAGTGTGTTGATGTTACACCCATAGATGCTGATGAAAACGATGATGATGGGGTGAGACCAAAGCAGATGGGTGAAGACAGACAGGTGACAGTGCTGGGGTGAGTTGGTGGTCAGTGACAAAAGAAACAGGCTTAATCCTGATCCTGTGGCCTTAATTCACTATAAAATCTTGCTCCTCCGAAAACAAACAGCAGCAAATCTAAACAGCAGGAGCAAAAGAGTAGATTGAAGCAGACACATTTAACATGGATTATTAGTGTTAGTTACATTAGAAGCACACCAAGTCATAAAATATATTTAAAACCTCTAAAATTTCCTTAATAACATGTAAGTGAAACCTGGTCATAAAACAGAGTTTTAATAAGGCAGCTTTACAAAGATTTAACGTGAATATTTGAACTTTGGAGACTAAGACAAGCTGTAAACAAGCTCTAAAGGCTAACAACATGCTGACACTAAATTCGCAATCAACGCAATTACAAACTGTGAAAGTTTATTTCTTCAGCCAATTTTTATCATTTTAGCTGTCATGCAGTACATTAGTGACCCAATAAGAACTGCCATATATCTGTTTCTTAAATACTCAACAACTCACAATTATAAAGCATGATTTTTCATGATTTTTGCACTGATGGCTGGCTTGATTGCTAATTTTCTTCACCTTTCTAGCTCTGCCCTGTTCCTCATTAGATCCACCTGTTCCGGTTTCCTATTTAAGCTGCTTGTTTCCCAGCCATCAGTGCCAAATTATTCTTGAGCCTTTGGTGTTGAGGGTTCTATAGCATTACTATAGTGTTCTGAGTGTCTAATCCTGATATGTTTCTGTATTTGGACCTCTGAACCTGCCTGCCCCTGTCTGATCTGATGGCCTGCCTGTTTTCGGACTTCTGTGGGATTCTTCACTGGTCTGAACCTGGAGCTGTCTCTTGACTTCGCCCTGTGGATTATCCTGTCTTCCTTCGTCAGTTGATCGTCTGACCTCCTGTCAGCTCTGTATCCTTCTACGCTTCCAATTTAAGACATTTGATTAAGCATTTAGCCTGGAAATCTCTGGCAGCATCGGATGAGTCTGTTCAGTCGACCAGATGGAATCATCTTCGTTCTCTGGGCAAGGACTGAACTGTGAAACTATGTTAGTAACTCACGTACTCAAAATGATCCTCCGTCAGATTTTTGTAGCCACTAACCTGTGTTTCTCTCCGATACACGTTTCTGCCTCAGATACTCTAACCGCTGAAGTTGCTGCCACTGCACTGTTCTGTTTGAATAAACACTTTCCAATAACTCCAATGTCTGTCTTGTCTGAATTCTGGGACCCACTTTCTGAGCCATTACATGATTTGTGATTGCTCTTTATATGCAGTAACCTTTATCTTGAAGAAATGTTCTTTATTAAATTGGGGTACCTAAAAAAATAATAAAAAAAGAAAATAACCACTGTTTGTTATCTAGTTCCTAATCAGTTAGAGTTGTGTGAAATCCAAGGTTGACCTGCTGTTGGGACTTATTTGACCAGCCAACATAGTGTCACACAGTTAAGTTGGCAAGCTGGTGCGAAGTAGGAGGACAGCCCAAACATTGCTCCACTGAAACCAACAGAGCAGATGACCTTTTTCTTAATGCTAACCTAATTTACATAAACCACCACAGAAATGGCTACCTGAAGTTGTTTACACGGGAGCTGCTAAGAAATATTAAGGAGGACAAATGATCACAAAACAAGTTTAAATAAGACCATAAGCAGCTCTCTTTGAAGCCAACAATGGAGGGATTATGCAAACATCACTATTGAAAATATTCCCAACATTTAATACAGAAGAGGAAGTAAATACAAGACCTAATGCTGATGTGTAGGTGCGTAACTTAACCAGTCCGAACATTTTATGAGGTAAGGAATCTTTATTGGCAATAATATCTAAATATTTTAGTAGGTTTTTAGTTAAATTACTGAACGTTTTAACAGTTGGGAGATGTTCACTTTAACAACTGCAAGATCTAACAATAAAATATGCAACTTTAATGTTTCCCCAGAAGGTATTTAAATAGTTAATGTGCAAAGCTGCAGATTTAAGTCAAGCCTGAAGGTGTTAACCTTGGAGCAGGAGCTTCTTTCTGTCCCCTTCTCCAATCATATTAATGTCAAATCCACTTAACTGTACATTTGCTTGGTTGTCCTGGAAAGTTTTAAGTGCTGTCCCATAATGTAGAGGCGCCCGTTTATGACACATGGTTGATACTTGGCCACTTAGAAGATAAGCTTCCAAGTAAACATAAAAACTTTTGGTGCAATGGATGAAGCTGGCAAACATGCAGCTTTAGGAAAGGACTTGACTTTATTGACGTAATGGTCTTTGTCTGCAAACCCAGAGGTGTTTCAAATAGAATAAGGATGACTGAGTAACAACCTGTTAAATAACACTTATTGTAGCAAAACATGAAGGTTGGTGCATGAATATACAGTACTAGGTGCTTTATATATAATCTAAGCTGAAATTCCAAAATAAATTTACCATTGTGCAAAGAATGCTCAGTTTAAAAAATAATGAACCTAATCTGTTGAAATATAATTTCTCACAGTTAAAAGAACAGTTTGAATGCATCATCAAAGCCTAATGCTTATAGTCATTAGAGGTGATAATGGGTGTTTATAAACTCCTGACTAGAGAAGGCTGTGCACTAAAACAGTTGAAGCAAACCTGATATCTACATGGCACCCCAACATTTATAGGGACAAGGAGATGCATATATTGTTTTAATGAAAGTTTTGTAGAAGCTGAGAAAACTTTATAGGATGTCTGGGTTAATCAGGTGGGTTAGCAGATATCAGTGGGAGCTACAGAGATTGTGTTAAATGGATT